GCCGGCGGGGGCCGGCTGCGGCGGCGGCGCTCCGCGCGCGGGCGCGGTGGGCTGCTCGCTGCGCGCTGCGCCCGCGCCCGGGGGGCCCGGGGCCCCAGGCCTCCCAGAGGGGGCTCGAGCGGATGGGCTCGGAGGTCAGTCTCGCTCAACCTATCCCCACCCTCAAGTCGGGCCTGTGTCCCTCATAGGAGGAACATTGAAAAATAGACCCAAAATATTACGGGGGCGTTTTTTTCACCATGTTTGAATATGTTTTTGTATTCTTGTGGATTTTTGTTTCAAGTTTTCGCCCAAATTCCGCCTGTTGGGGGACATGCCCGACCTAACCTTACCCCCTTCCGTCGAAGGAAGAAACACGCCATGAGCAATGAACTGTTGGTGCTCCGCGCGCGTTTCTCGGATCCACGCTGGCCGCACCCACCCCCGGGCGGCGCCGCCGGCGCGCTCCGCGCGTCAGGCGGGGGGGCCCAGTGCAGATTCAGGAGACCCAGATCCCGACAATTGGCGTTTAAGTCGGGCGTGTCCCTCTACAGGAAGAATATTCAAAAATAGTCGGAAAATAGTCTAGGGACCATTCTATATTATGTTCAACAATTTGGGAATATGTTTTTCTTTTTTTGTTTTTCGTCCAAAATCCGCCTGTCGGGGGACTTGCCTGGCCTGAGTTTGCTAGACAGCCCTGGGCGTTTACTAAGCAGCCCTGCCCTGTTCGATTCCTTTTTTGTTCTTGCGTTTACCAGACGGCTGCGCTTGTCGGGGGGATCATTCTGGGGGTGGAGTCTCTGCCCATTCTAAAGGTGGGACCCCAGCGGATGGGCTCGCAGGTCAGCGTCGTTCAACCTATCCCCCTCCAGGCCATTGCATCGCAGCCCCGCCATCGCGCCCCCTTGGTTGGGGATGTGCCCCTCGAAACCCGAAGGGATCGACCCCCATCCGGAGGGGGGGCCAATGCTTTGCCAGTGGGACGGGGATTGGTAAAACCATGTTCAGGAGAATCGCGCCGCATCGCCGATGCATCTGCGATGCGGCTTGATGTTGAGCCCGAGAGTCTCTACGCCGACTGCGGCGGCGTATCACCGATGCATCGCCAGTGTATCGCCGCTGGATCGGCGATGCATCAGCGATGCGGCACGATCCTCCTACCCCATCTACTCGGACCGCATCTGAGAGGCTTCCGGGGACCTCGCGCCTCCTCGATTTTCAAAGGTGGAAAGGACACCTCGCGCCTCGAATGCGGCGCGACCCTCTTCGTCACTGTCAGGAGGACCATCCCAACCCCCCACACTTCTTCTTTCTGCGCAGATCTCGACGGAGGGTGTTGCGCCATCTTCAGCCTCCGCGGGCCCCCACCGGGCCCTGGGACAGTCAGTAAGTGGAAGATGGAATGCCGGTCCCGGGGAAGGGGTCCAGGCCTCGGGAGGTGGACGTTGTGAAGAAGTCGGGTCGTCGGGGTTCTGGGCCTGGGTGGGGCAGGGCAATGCGGCTGTCCCAGCATAGCCCCCTTGGTGGCGAGTGGTGCCGCGAGGCCCGAAGGAGACGGCACCCATCCCTGCTTGGGCGACGCAGGAAAACGGATTCGACTGCGCGGACATTCGCGCGTAAAGGCGGGGCAAACGCACCCTCGTATTCACGCGGTGTGCCACGCTGACGGCCCGCGTAGGCCACCGCGCAGGGAGCCGTGACGTTCTGCCGCGAGCATGGCGCCGCGACCGTGGCCGCCCCCCTCTCCTGGCCCCCTCGGCCTGCCAGCAGGTGGCGATGGTATTGATTTGTGCTCCGGGTGGCGGGGCACGTGTCTGACTGGGACCACTCGGATGCAACTCATGGGGGGTCAAATTCTGACTTTGCCCTGGTCCGAAATCCGGCTTAATTCGTTTGGATCCCGCTTAATTCGGCCTCATCTCGCATGCTCCGTATTAATCCTGGTTGATCTGGCTTAATCCCACTTAATTTGCGGCCTAATTCAGCGTAGCAGCCCCCCCATGAGGCTTAATCCTCCTTGATCCTTCCCACGAAAAACCAGCCGGCGGAAGAACAACTCGTCCTTCCGAGAGGTTCAACGACAACTTGGAGTCAGGTTTCCCGAGGCGGCCATGCAAGTGTCGACGTCTTCTTCCATCCGACGCCGGTTCGACGCGGGCTCGGTGTGGAACCGATGCTAACTCGACCTCTGACGCAGACTCAAGGAGAAGAGCGAAGCGCCGCCGCAGAAAAAAAAACCAAGACCGTCGCCCGCGCTCGCTCGCGGGGCGCTCTGGGCCTCTCTGGCCGCTGACGTTTGGCTCGAGCACTGCACTCCGCCCTGCCCTCCCCTTGGCATCGCTCGGACGTGTGCATTTTTCCTTCGGCGAGGACCATCGAGGAGCATCCTTGATCATTTGGCGAAAAAACCACGCACGAAACCGAAAAAAACACAGGGAATGGACGTCCGAGCGATGGCGAGTCCCCCCCTCCCCCGCCGAGGCCCCTGGCCCGTGCCCTCGCAGTCATGGCGAGCCCGCGCGCTCCGTGCCCGGGCTGGACCTGAGCACGGTTCTGCTGGACCTCGGCCTCGTTTTGTTGTCCGTGTTGGCCGGGAGGTAATGGAGGATGACGATTGATAGATGACCGGGGGTCGTGTTCACGCGGCGGCGCCCGGGATGACGATTAGAAAAAACCGGCCTGCGGGCTGGAAAATTATTTGATTAATCGTTTTCCTCCAGTCAGAAAATTGTGCAGAAATAACTGAACACTATTTTTTTAATCGTTCTCTCCCATGTTTGGATTACTCGTCATCCCGCATTAGAGGAAGCCATGTAGAGCAAAACGAACAGCGTTTAGGCCCAGCCCTGCGCCGTGCTGCCGCCGCGCCCGCACTGCCGGGGCGCGCCCGCGTAGCCTGCGGCGCAGGCGCGGCAATGGGGGGGCTGCCTGGGGGCCACCGCGCGCCGTGGGGCAGCACGGGCCCGGAGGAAGCGAGTCCTGGATCGACGGAAGGTCTTGGCTTTTTTTTGTTTCCGAGGTTCCCTGTGTTGGGTGTTCCTACCGCCTGCACCCCGGCCCGCCCTCCGGCCGCCGGAGGCCCCGTCCGCCTGTGCAGCTGTCTCCCCAAATGAGAGCTCTGCGTGGCACGCCCAGCTTTTACTAACCGGAAGAGGCTCGCTCTCGACCCTCAGGCCAAAAAAACTGTGTTGGGTCTTCCTGCTGATGTAGCGGGTGTCTTTTTGCTGATGTAGATAGAGAATAAAACAATTGTGTTGGAACAGATAACATATTTTTCTCATCTAATAGGAACATATAATCGTGGTGATTGAGAACAAAAGCTGTGTTGGGTCTTCCTGCTGATGTAGCGCACTGTTGTCTCCTCTCCCTCCCGCCTCCCTTCTCCTCCCCGCGCCTCCCTCCCGCCGTCTGCCTCCTCCTCCTCCTCCTCCCGCGCTGCGCCGTGGGAGGCTGCGAGCCGCGCAGCCGTCGCCACCTCTCGTGGGCTCCGGGGAGGCCCAGCGGAGTCGGGGGCCGCGCGGGGCCCAGACGCGACCTCGCTGCCCGCCCGGGTGGTTCTGAACTGCGCAGCCGTCGCCACTTGCATGGGCTCCTGGGAGGTCCAGCGGAGTCTGGGGCCGCGCGGACCCAGACGAGACCTCGCTGCCTCCTGGGTGGTTCTGAACTGCGCAGCCGTCGCCACGTTCGTGGGCTCCTGTGAGGTCCAGCGGAGTCGGGGGCCGCGCGGGGCCCAGACGAGACCTCGCTGCTCCCTGGGTGGCTGTGCACTGCGCAGCCGTCGCCACTTTCGTGGGCTCCTGGGAGAGCCAGCGGAGTCGGGGGGCACGCGGACCCAGACGAGACCTCGCTGCTCCCTGGGTTGCTGTTGGCTGCGCAGCCGTCGCCACTGTCGTGGGCTCCTGGGAGGGCCAGCGGAGTCGGGGGGCACGCGGGCCCAGACGAGACCTCGCTGCTCCCTGGGTGGTTCTGAGCTGCGCAGCCGTCGCCACTTGCATGGGCTCCTGGGAGGTCCAGCGGAGTCGGGGGCCGCGCGGACCCAGACGAGACCTCGCTGCTCCCTGGGTTGCTGTTGGCTGTGCAGTTGTCGCCACTTTCGGAAGTTCCTGTGAGGTCCAGCGGAGTCGGGGTCCGCGCGGGGACCAGACGCGACCTCGCTGCCCCCTGGGTGGTTCTGAACTGCGCAGTTGTCGGCACTTTCGTGGGCTCCTTTGAGGTCCAGCGGAGTCGAGGGCCACGCGCACTCAGACGAGACCTCGCTGCTCCCTGGGTGGTTCTGAACTGCGCAGCCGTCGCCACTGTCGTGGGCTCCTGGGAGGTCCAGCGGAGTCGGGGGCCGCGCGGACCCAGACGAGACCTCGCTGCTCCCTGGGTTGCTGTTGGCTGTGCAGTTGTCGCCACTTTCGGAAGTTCCTGTGAGGTCCAGCGGAGTCCGCGCGGACCAGACGCGACCTCGCTGCCCCCTGGTGGTCTGCAAACTGGGCAATTGTCGCGCTCCTGGAACGTCCAGCGGAGTCGGGGGCCACGCGCACCCAGGCAAGACCTTGCGGCTTCCGGGGTGTCTGCGAAGTGCGCAATTATTGATTATTACAGGGGCTCCCGGAAAGTCTCGCTGCCCCTTGGGTGGCTGTGAACTGCGTAGCTGTCGCCACTTGCCCGGGCTCAGGGGGGGGAAGCACCTACCCCGAATCGCCCAGGAGCGGGCGGCGTTGCTATCGAGGCTCATCGCAGATGCATCATCGAGGTGCCGTTGCTTCCAGCTCGATGTCCCTCCCCTTGCCCCCACCTCTTGAGCCGCCCCCCCCCCCTACGGTCAGCAACTTTGCCTCAGCGTGTCGCGCCGCCAGTTCTGGCCCATCACGCTGCGGCGCCACACGCCATCCACGCCCCACCCCCCAGACGTCACGTCCACGCCATCCACGCCCCACCCCCCAGTTGTGCAAACCTGTCTAGAGGCAGGGTCTGCTACGTCTGAGGCAGAGTCTCTGTCAATCGGACTGGTCCAGTTGGATCTGGATTCT